CAGCTCCTTGGAAGCTGCTTTTCTGCTATTGCCAAACAGCCAGAACTACAGCCTGGCCTGGGTCTGGGCAGCCAGGACAGGCCGAGGGAACCTGATTMAAGAGTCTGCTTTAGCCAAAAGGGACCAACACACACTCTAAATCAAGAGACAAAACAGCAAGCTGCAGCAAGGACAGTGATCAGCCCTGCCTGCTGCTTACACAGGAAGCTACACTTGATCAGACATCTGGGATCTAAGTGTAAGATGAAAAAGAAATTGCAGAGCTGGCTCTGAAGGGCAAGTGGGAGGGCAGGCACAGGCTCAGAGAAAATGCTTGAGGTTTTGCTTGTTTCTAAAAGTTGATGATTCCAGGCACCACTTAAATCTCAGCCCATACTTACGAAGTCTGTGCTGCAAAGAAAGAAATCCAGGCTACAGCTTCTTTTCTGACACACTGAGTCAGAGAGAGGGTTGTATCCCARGTCCCAGTCAGGATACAGGTTAGTTTGCCACAATTTTTGCAATGTTTTTCCAGCTGAACTCTCCAGCAGAAGCTTTCTGCTGATGTATGTGACTGTAGAGGTGTTTAGAAGCCAAACTTGTGGTCACATGCAGTTTTCAATGTGAAGCAATCACTAAACATTTATTTTTAAAACATCACAAAATTCCCAGAAAAGGTAATTATCAAATAATAGCAGTGTTAATAAAACACACAAATACTAAATGATAGATTTGCTACTTTTCAGCTTTCCCCTCTTTCAGCATTTTAAGGTGTTGAAAAGCACCCTTCAAACAGTGTTTCATTTATCATTGTGAAAGAACATGTTCTGCTATTCACCCAATCTTATAATATTAAAGACACTTTGAGACAAGCTGTATTTTAAATCCATCTCTGCCTGAACAAACCCCCGAGCCAGAAGTTCAGCTGTCACAAAAAACAAAAAGCAAAAAGTGAAAACAAAGTCTCTAAAATCTCCACTAGATGTGTAATCCATGGCTAATGTAGCCAGGCAGCCTGGCTGTAAGAGAGCAGAGTATTTATCTGTTATCTGATATTTAAGACTCAAAAGGAGTCCGTGTCACCCATCAGTAAAGCAATAAATTGATGGTGAGGATGAGCAATTATTTCAGGTGTGGAGATACAGCACTGAGGCTTGGGGAACTCTCATTCTTGGTTGCATTTCCTGTGCCCTGCCCCACTAAATRCTCCAGAGCTCTCTTGTCTTGTAGGTCTGTTCCTCACTCCTTCCCAGATGAAGGACCCTGATAGGAAAGACATTTGCAGGTTTTAGCGGCTCATTCCTCACCATTCTCTCCTCTCCCAGGGCTGGACAGCRGTGGCCATCCCTCCCGAACTCCTGGGAGGCTGAGATAAAGCACTCCCGCTGCTTAACAGGGGCTCCACAATAGTCAATTCATGGCATTTTAAAATCTTGTCCACCTGTCCTCACCACACCCATGTCTCTATTCTTCCTGCACCACTCTTCCCTCTCCTCCAWTTCCCCCATCTTTCCACTTACTCCTCCACCCGCTGCTTTTTCCTTTCTCTTTCAACTGTTTACTTCTCAGTTTACTGTTCCCCACAGATCACCGGCTGGAGTTCACCTCTCACACCGTTCACACTGTCAGCATATCACTCCTGGCCACACAAATTCAGGTGTTTAGTGGCTGCTCTTTWACAGCCACTGCTCGGCTGCTCTTAYCTGCTTCTGGCTACGCTGTGACTCCGCTCATCTCTGTTTCATTTCACAGGTACCTGGCTGTCAGTTCAAGATGAAAACCCCCACAAGAACATTTGTCTCTTACACTTTGGTGCCTCTTCTTCACGGGCAATAGCAGCATCCTCTCTGACAACCAGCCTCCCTATGGGCTGCCTTCAAATCCTCAGAGGGAAGCTGAATCCCATTTTTCAGTTTTTTTCAGTGTGATAGTTTTAAAAACACAACATTTTCTTTCTAACCACATCATTCAGATTCTTTGCTGCACTCCTAAACCTTCCCTTCCAATTACCAAATGCCTTTTTCTCTAGCCTGACATAATGCCATTTAAACCGATGCCGACTGTCCACCCCAAATACTTTTCATCCCCTCTTCTCAGTGCCATCCATTTGTACAAATCTCCACCTCTCCATCCTTCTCTCGCACAAAGATGTCAAGCCATGTATCTCAGCTTCCATGGCTTTTCGTCTCCCTCAGGATCCTGGAGACCTCTCAAAATCTATCCTGGAGACACCAAACTTAACTTTTTTTTTTTTTTTTTTTTTTTTTTTTTTTTTTTTTTTTTTTTTTTAAAAAAAAAGCATTCATGCTTTCTCTGGTTGAACCCATCGTGTTTAGGAGGGATTCTCTCTCAATAGTTCCAGAAGGTATACTTGACTTCTGAACCTTTGATACCAATCATCATCTGTGGCACCTGTGTACAGCCAATTCTCTTTAAATATCACATCTGCACATTCTTTTTAGTCAAAGCAGTGCTTTTGTGCAATATCTCTCACAATACTGAGCTTCTRCTAGGGCTTTGAATATTCCCTATACCTTAGTGTTTAAAGTCTTAAGCTTAACTAAATATTTAGTACCTAAGTAATTGGTGACAAAAGCAGTGGCTATTATTGGCATCCTTTGAAGTCTAAAATTAAATTTAAAGCTAAGAAATTCAGTGAGTATCCAAAAACTTCACACTTCTGAAAGTCAGGGAACTGCTRATGCCTGCCTAAGCCACAACCTGTTTGTCTTTAACTTTTGTCAGTTGTACAAGTTTGAAGCACAAGAAAGCCGTTTCTGTATTTCAGAAGTGTTTATGGTGCTTCAGTTGGAGTCTTATGATTGGCCTTTAAGCAATCCATTCTCTCCTAACAGGGCCAACCATTCAGTGACTCTGGAGGAATCTAAGGAAGGTTTATCAGACTTGACTTGACCTGCCCCAGCAAACCAGGAGAAGCTCAGTGCCTCACAGAAGGTCAGACTGCTAAGTGGACTTTACAGGACACAAACTGACACTGAAAAATAATTTTTAAAAAAGTAAATCCAGGCATGCATATGATCAAAAAGAGTTACTGAGTTTGTTACTGTGAAGGTTCAATACTTGCTGATGTACGAATATGTTGTTGACCTTGAGCATTAAACCTTCAGCCTGACTTAGAGCACCATCAAAAAGATTAAGACCAACATTGCTAAATCCAACACCTTGTTAATTTAGTGCTAATGAGTTTCAAAGCATAGAAAAAAAATAATAAACACTTATAAACTCCAGATTAAAAGAAGCCACTTGATGACAGTTCTAAAAGACAATTGGGCTTTTCAAAGCCAGACTGCTGGGAGCAGGGATGGCTCTTCATAAATAATGCTCTGGGTTAGAGGCTATTTATTGATTTCAGGACCACAGAAAASCCATTAATAAAACAAGATCACAAGAAGAGCTTAAAATACTTCATGTTCTGAAGAGCTTGAAGTGAAACAAACAGCCTAAATGTTTCAAAATATTTTTAAATAATGTGCATGAGATTTTTTTTTTTTTTTTTGTTCATGAAAGAGGCCAGCCTGGAAGCCGATGTCATGGATTTATGCCTAGAACAGGTGTGGATTTCTGACACACGGCCTCCTTCCCTACAGACAGGGCTTGATTTGACCTGAAAAATATACCACCAGCCACAGGAACCYGAGAGTCAGTGCCCTGACCCTGCAGTCCCTGGTTCTACTGGGATGGGCACCATCAGCTGTGGAGCTGACCTCAGGAACACACACACTCCCTTCCTTTGAGAACACGACCAAGGCCTGGCAAACTCCTGCTATTACAAGGAAYAACACAGGAAAGAAAATCTACTTTTGTAAACTATGTTTATGGGACACAGACATGTTCAAAATGATCTTCATGTCTGGGAAGATCAGACTTCTGAAGAAGAACCAGCTGGGAAAGTTGCAGGAGCTCAAATATACTTTGTAATATYTTTCCTGCTAAAAACAGGAGGCAGAAATGGGGAATCTGCCACTCAAAGGACGCAGATTTGAAATTATCTGTTCTCATTAGCACTCTGTGTACTTCTTGAAAACATGGGCAGGGGAGACTCTAAGCACTGTCTGTATGCAGGACAGAACTGGCTTATTTTTCCTGACTCTGGTTTCAGCACTGCCATATTGCTTCATATCACAMGAGCTTCACAAGAGAATGGCTGGATATAAATCTCAGAGCAGTTTTAAAAGCCTTTAAAATACCAGCATGSATACTACATCAAACCAATATTCTTATATTATTGCCTTTGACYCCAAAGAAAACATGTAAACATAACAAAATGCTGTGAAAGTTACAGGCACCTCCTGCAGATCTGGCCCCTAGTGCCATAGCTGCACTGATTCCAATGAAGTGAGGACATTTTTTTATCAGCTGGGGACTTGGCCTGACAAAGGTGGAACATTCAGCAGCATGTCAAATTAAGTGTGTGCATTTAAGTTCATTTTACTTACCATCAAAGCCTTCATGCTTTGAAAAACAGTACAGAGCAGTAATTCTTGCAGAAATGCAATTACTCATCTGGCTGAGAAAGCAATACAGAAATAAGACCAAATCCAATATTCCCTTAAGTTCAGAGGAAGTTCTGATGAATTTGAGAGACCTTCACACGTCAAAATAGCATGATTTTGTCTGAGAGACCTGAGACAGGTCCCTAACATAAGAAATGAGCCATAGTCCAGTCTGAAAGGACTGTTAAATGTTCAASTTCTCAGGCCATAAGCTAAGATTCTTATTTTTGCACCAAGAACCACATGATATATGGGCCCAACAGGTCAAATTGTTTTCAGGTCAAGAAAGGGGAAGAGTCAATACAAGGAGAGTGTTGTTTCAGATGACTCAGGCAGATTAGAGATTAGTTTAATGTTTATTCTTTTTTTTTTTTTTTTTTTTGAATAGGGAGAGCAGTCAGTGCTAGAAGTTAATATTGTAACAATTCCTGTGGGATTCAGCTCCCTGGAGAGGCTCCAAAGTCCATGAGCAGTCCTCTCCAATGCCCCCGTGCCAGCCTCACTTACCCCCAGCCACCTAGCTCCTTTGTTGGCAGCCTGCTGAATCTGCACTTTTTTMAGGGTGACATTGTAGACAGCTCCATCTTCTACCTCTTCACCCCCATCCTGAAACGTGGTCTGCCAGGAAAAGGAGAAATAAAAACTGTCAGATGGAAAGGAAGGTTTTCCCCTTTCTGCTGACCACAATCTATCCCAGGTGCTCTGCTGCTCCACGCAGAGCAGASGAGATGGGCAGCACAAAATAAACACAACAATCAAAGCAATCCAGGGTGCCCTTAGGTTGAGGGAACACTGGAGATATTCTTGGCAAGCTATCCCTTCCTGTGGTATCAAGATACCCTCACTTTCCATTTAACTGTTCTTCCTAGACTAGCACATATTTTAAATAGTTGCATRAAGTCTTTTCTAAGGCAAGAGTTTGGTTTTGATTAGCAGTCTTCTCTTTCGTCGTCGTCATCCCTCCCCTTTTTTACAGCAATTAATCTCTTTGGCCTTTCATTTAGAGAAGGATTCGCACTTTTAAAACTGTTGAATTACTTCGTCAGAAAGCCCTGAAACTTTGAAGATACAGGGCGTTGAAAACACAGCAACATCTTAATTCTCTTGAGAAGGAGGGATCTGAAGCGCTTGCGGTTTGCTTTTCCAAAAACCCATTATTTCAAGAACAAAAAAGAAAAAAACCAAGCAGCTTTACAGCGGATGGGGATATTAAAACTCGCAAATAGAAAGCCAAGGATAATAAAGAAGAGTGCAATGGGTCCCGAACTTCCAGCGAACGTGGGACTCTGCTCGAACCGGGCACGGCATCGCTGGGCACGGCTTATCCCGGCACCAGGCACAGCATCGCCCAGGAGTGGGCACAGCACCGCCAGCACCGGGCACAGCA